TCAGAGTAGCAGGCACTTTGGCTTGGGTCCATGTCAGTGTTTATGACAAAGTGTCATTAAAATGTGGAATTTGCCGTCACTGCTCAGATGAGCAAATCTCAGAAGAAATGACAATTTCTGTATCACATCTTTCCAAATGTCCTTCAGGTAGGAAATGTTTCTTTGCATGGCTGATCTGAGAGAGGTATTTGCCTTTTCCAGGCTGCAGATGCTGGAACAACAGGTAGTAGGAGGAGAACAGGCTAAAAACAAGGACCTCAAAGAAAAGCATAAACGCCGAAAAAAGTATGCAGACGAGCGGAGGATGCAGCTGGTGGCCGCGCTGCAGAGCTCCAACGAGGACAGCAGCGACTGGGTCCTGCTTAATGTCTACGACTCCATCCAGGAAGAGGTTCGAGCCAAGAGCAAACTTCTGGAGAAGATGCAGAGAAAGGTAAGCCTGCAAAAGCAGCTTTGGACTCCCTGCTTCATTTAGGGAGCATTCGGGGCAGTTATTCTCAGGATGGCTTTTTAATGTATTTATTTGACATATTCTCGCCTGTCTTCCCTCCTCTGCTTACATCTTCTTCACGCTGAGGCACTGCAGGCAACCTGTCTAGAGAATGACTCTGCCTGTGTCTAATGTTTCTTATGTGCGCCTGTGTTATTACCTACCAGGTTTATTGTGTGCATTCCTATAAAATATTTGCTGTAGCATCACTCACAGTGGTGAAACGAGTTGTTCCCTGTCTGCAGCTTTCTCAAGGCCTCACCTGACCATTTTCAACCTTATTGTGTAAGAGTTTGGCTGGGTGAACGTGTCTGCTCAAGGGAGAGGATGCGACTCCCTCTGCCGGCATGTGCAATCTATTACATGACTTAGAAATCAGAAATCTGAAGCATTGAAGCTTCTGTTATTTAAATAGTGAGAAGTAACTGTATGTGTTCTTATTAACCTTATAATCTCCTGAACATGGCTAAGTTGCTGTCTTCAATTGATTCTAAATCCACAGCATAGAATAATGTATCTTCCTGCAGCATTTTTGAGTTTTGCCACCATACTTCCCTGTAAGTGCCTCCTCAGACTTGTGTAACCCGACAGTGAAAAAAAAAATTACTGGTCCACTTTCCCAGGCTGTTCATTATTTCTTACCCTTCTTCCTTATCTGTCTTCAGAGAAAACGGAATGATTTCTCTGACAAATTTCCACACTCATAGTCATTAGCAGTCCTCTCTCCGTTATAATCCCAACTAGCCCTTTTGTTTTAATGACCCAGCTGCGGGCTGCCGAGACGGAGATCAAAGATTTGCAGTCGGAGTTTGAACTAGAAAAGATTGATTACCTCGGCACTATCCGCCGGCTGGAGCGAGACCTGATGCTCTTCCAGCAGCTGCTAGATCGGGTGCAGACCCTCATCCGGCGCGACTGCAACTACAGCAATCTGGATAAGATCAAGCGCGAGTGTGTCTGGGATGAGGAGGCTGCCTGCTGGAAAATTCCAGAGCCTGTCATTCAGAAAACCAGCCTTCCTGCAGGTAAGAGGAGCAGCTCAACTCTGCTGCTATCACCCGGCTTTTTCCCAGCTCATCAGCACACCAGCTTGCTGTTTATCCCGTTTGGATTGCGCTCACTTGTAAAATCTTGCATGCAGAGCACAGGCTGGAGTTTTTCTGGAAGTTCTGGGTAATAACCTAGTTTAATGAGGACAAAACTAGTGAATTTGTGTCACTCTGACCAACCCACCTCTTTGTGGGTCTACACAACACTTGATTAAAAATTGAGAGCAGGCAGACAAAGGGTTCCCTGCAGCTTCACGTGTGTTCAGTACTGCAGGTCTCTTCTGTGGAAACTGAATTTGCAGCTAGTGCTTAAAACAAATGTGATGCTCCCTTGAAACTGTTCATCCTAGGATCTTAAAGCACTTTATGCCACTAATGAATGAACACAGCAGCACCCCTCATGTGGTATTACAAGACTTGTTCTGAAGCTTGAGCAGCTAAGGCAAGGAAACATCTTGATTTCAGCTAGGTAGCTTTCCTGGAGTTTCACAGGGACCTTTTGTTGACCAAAAATTAGAATTTGGGATCCCTGTGTTCTTCACATGCTTGTGTGTTGCCTTAGCCAAAGAGGTGTGTTGCCTTCCCTGTAAAACTTCCCTCCAAGAGCTGGTGAATTCGCCTGTTACTGCTTTCGCTGGTGCATATCCTATCCCAGTCCTCGGGTGCAAATCACAGTAAGGGTCCTTGAAGGATCTCTGTTAGCTCAATAAATAGTGGTGGGGATCAAGGAGCTCGATCATGAGCGTAATTGTTTTAGACATGATAGCCCCTTAATATTTTGTCTTTTCTCATAGCAGTTTCATCACTGCCACAGGGAAAACCTGCCAGAAAGATCCCTTCAGCTGAGAGTGGAGAACTAGCAATGGTAAATTGTATTTCTTTTCCTTCTGATGTCCTGGAAAGTCCTGCTGAGAAGTCCTTGTGTCTCCCGTGTGTGCTGGGTTGGCTGGGCAAAACATCAAACACACCAGTTGTATATATACCTGCCATACAATGGCAGCTGTATGTAATCGGTGTGAGCCAGCAGGATTACAGCAGAGGACCCTTGAAATATGTGTAAAATCAAGTAAATCAAGCAGAGAGCTTAGTGGCACAATTTGGTGACCAGAGGAAGACGTAGGCTCCACTTGGACATGCTCGTGGTTTGGGTCCAGCTAAGACCACGCTGCCTGTGAGCAGGTGGAGCACTAGTGTGGCCTTGGTAGGCTGGGCTATCACCTATATAGATTTCTTTGTGTCACTCTAACCAAGAACTTGTTTGTATCTTCTGTTACGGTACTTGGCAGTATTTCAAAGCCTCAACCTGTGACACTCGGGTGTCTAAGAACGAGTGTTTTCTGATTCCAGCAAGAGGAGGACCGCTACAAGCTGATGTTGAGCAGGAGTGATAGCGAGAACATTGCCAGCAACTACTTCCGATCCAAGCGAGCCAGTCAGATGCTTAACACTGACCCGGTGAAGAGCAGAGGTAAATGGGTCTCCGGGGACTTTTGCCCAATACGTTGTTGCTGTTCATCTTAATTCCTCAGGAGTACATGTCCTGGGCTGCTGATTTTTTGGGAGCACTAGCCTGTGTGTCGTTCTGCTTCAGCTGGCCGTAGATGTAGTTCTCCATGACAATGCATGTGGCAAAACTTGGATTAGGAATACTTAAATGTGAACATCTGAAAACAGAAGCATTGGTGCACACAGCTCCCTTGAATTGACACAAATATCCTGCAAAATGAGGTAAAGTAATTAAAATGTGTATGTTGCAGAACTCCAGACCTTTGCTGCACTAGGACACAACATAAACGTTGCTGATTTGCAGAACATTTGAAATACTTTATTTTGGTTCCTGGCTACGGCCTCCCCTAGATACATACAACAAAAAGCAATCCTTACAAAACATCAGGCTTGAGTGGCACAGAATTACTGTGCCCGTGTGGGTCCTCAAGAGCCAGTGATTGCAGAACAAAATCCACCCTGCTACTATTTGCTTTTTGCACGGCAGCTTCAGCGAGCAGGTCAGAACCTGCCTGGGGTACAGAGCTGCCCGCCCTGCTCTGGAAAACCTTGATACAGCAACACAGAGAGCAGTGCGTGAATAAATAACTGGTGTTACCGCTCTCAGCAGCGGTGCCTGTCCCCGGGGCACTCGAGTGCTTCAATTACAGGGAATAAACAAAGCCAGCACTAAATGAAGCACTTATCAGTGTTTAAGCAAACTAGATGAGGGTGGCCACATGCTGGGAAGGTCACAATGTCTTTCCCAAAATGTGGAGGGGGCACCAAAACAGGCAGCACAGCAGTCAGGCGGCAGAGTTTGCTATTGTGTGGAAATAAAACATGGGCGTTTCTGCCCTTAAATGTCACGGCTAAATCCAGAATGGAGCAGGGAACGCAGAAAAGCATCTCTGTATCCAAACAGGTGGCACAGCTAATGGTGGCCCCTCCTTTTCCTTTGCAGCTCCCCACAATCCTGGCTCGGGCCTGAGCCTCCCTCCGAGCAGCAGCGCGGCCTCGGCCCCGCCGGCTCCCGAGCTGCCCCAGCCGCGGCCTTTCCGCCTCGAGTCGCTCGACTTCACCACGGCGGCCGCCAAAACCAAGCGCAAAAAGGGCAAAGGCTCCTTCGGCAGCGACCTGTTCTGATGGCGGCAGCTCCAAGCTTGACACAAGCCAGAGGATGGAAGGACGGGGAAAGGACGGTGGCTTTTGGAGCCTTCGGAGCAAGTGATCAGAGCCGCTTTTGCAGCGAATCCCCCCTGGGGTTCGGCCTTGTCAGCAATCCTCGGGAAGGGAGGCTCCCGCTTGCCTCTTTAAGGATGGAAAGAGGTGTATTTGTTTTGAGGACTTCTCCTTCTGCAGCGTCAGGTTTGTAGAGGGCCGCCAGGTTTCTGTGTCCATCGCCTGCCCTCCCTTTCCCCTCGAGGCGTCATCGTCCTGCCCAGCTTTTAGACAGACCTTGTGGTGATGGGAAGAACCCCCCCCTTTTTCCCGATATTCTCTTTTCTAGTGCCGCCTTTGGGCCCTGTATGCCGCTTCCCGCCCTGCACTGCAATAAAGGTTTCTGCCACGACTGCCCCATCGCGCTGCTTCTGAGGGCGGGGAGACGGGGCTGGTTTTTTGGCCTTGTGCCTCCTCACAGGGGGCTCTTGTTGCTCTGGGGAGCTCCCGGAGCGGCACTTTCACGCTGGGCGCAGCGAGCGGCCCCGCCGCCGCCATCACCCCGCGCTCCTTCCCGCCCTGCGGCGGCCGCCACGCGCTCCCGCCCCACCGCCTCTCGTCCCGCCTCCTGCCGGTGCTGATTGGCCCGCAGTACGGAGCTGTCCCTCGGCCATTGGCCAGCGCCGGCGCGCCGCCTGCCGCTCATTGGCGCTCGGCTCCGGCCTCCTCCGGGGAAGGAGGGTGCCCGGCGGGGAAGATGGCGGCGCTGGCGCTGGGGTGGCTGCTGATGGCGGCGGCGGCCGGCGCGGCGGCGGCGCCGCGCACGCTGGTGCTGCTGGAGAACGGCAGCCTGCGCGACACGCACTCGCTCTTCTTCCGCAGCCTGGCCGGTAGGGCGCGGCAGCGGGCGGGCACCCGCCTCGGGGACAGGGCAGGCGGCCGCGTGCGGGGCCCGCTCGCCTCAGCGTGAGGCGGGAACGCCCGTGCTGGCAGCCGGCGGGGTTTGAAACGGTCAGTCCCCGCGCCTTCCCCTCCGGGGGTCCCTCCGCCAGGTCCTTGTGCCCCCAAGCCCCGTGGAAACTGCCTGTGGGTGCTGCCGTCATCGTTCTTTTTTGTACCATGAAATACCTAAATTTGTCTCAATTTTATTGTCTCGTGGCTACAGACAGGGGTTTCGATCTCACCTTCCGGACGGCTGATGATGCAGGCCTGTCGCTTATAAAATACGGGGAGTTTTTGTATGACAACCTCATCATCTTCTCACCATCTATAGAAGGTAAGATACCCAGAGCAGAACAAGGAGTGCTTTTGAAAAGGGGGTTCAAAATGAATATTAAGAAGCTTGTGCCTGCTTAATACCATTTTGCCACTGTTATAGTTGGTGGCTGTTACATCAGGTTGAACACGGTGCCGTGGGTAGGTCTGAGGTTACCCGAGCTCATTTGCCGGTCTTGGCCGTGACGGTTCCTGCAGCCGCTCGCAGAGCAGTGCTGGTTGTGGCCGTGGGTCCAGCTGTGTGTGTGTAGGATGGTTTCGGGGGCGGAGATGTGAATTCACCGTGTGTGTTTTCAGATTTTGGCGGAAACATCAACGTGGAGACCATCACTGCTTTCATCGATGGGGGAGGCAGCGTCCTCGTGGCCGCCAGCTCGGACATTGGTGAGGGCAGCTGCTCGCACATCTGGGTCTGTCAAATTCCTCACATTGTGGGTTCTTTTGCTTGCTTCTCCCCTGCAGTGAGGGTTATTACCCTCTGTTTGAGCTACTGCAGAAGAGTGGTGACAAAAAAGCACGATACCTTGCGGGTCTGCAGGACAGAGCCATTTAACTTTTTGTTTGTGCCATCTACACCTTTGTGTAGATGCTCTCTAGGGAATCCATCGTTGGAGAGGAAAAGATAACTTCTTTTGTGTCCTCACCTCCTTTAAAGCTCTGCTTTTTGAGAAAGGGAACTTTAACTGAATGGTGCTCTGTGCTCTCAGCTTCTTGTTGCAAATCTCGAGGTGCTGAAGTGCATCTGTGGGGAATCAATGACAGACTTTGAGTACGAAAACCAACTTGTGGTTTCGCTGTCAGGGTGCTGAGCACGTACCCCCAAGCTGTGCTTATTTTATGTTGAAGTTTAGATCGATACCGCGTCCTTCTGAGCACGCTGTGTGACGGAGGATCTGTTATGCCCTTCCAGGGGACCCCCTGCGAGAGCTGGGCAGTGAGTGTGGGATAGAGTTTGATGAGGAGAAGACAGCTGTCATCGACCACCATAACTACGATGTATCGGACCCAGGCCAGGTAAAAGTCGTTGAATGTTCTAGGTGTGCCCCATGCTGGAAGGGAGAGTGGTTTTTGTGAAGCAGCTTCTGTTCTTGTTAACGAGAAGTGACTTGCAGTGAGGTGTGGGATTTGGAGATGGATCTTTTGTCATTGTTTTCCTCCTCCTTCCATTCTCTGCTCTCCTGGCTTGCTCCAAAGGAGGTCTCAAGTAGTATCACTCTCATTAGGCGGTGTGACCACCATGCTGTGGTCAGGACTGTGGGCAAAATAGCATAAAGCTGGATGTATTTGGGATCTCTGCCTTCAAACACGTATTTCTGACCTTTCTGCTTTTGATCTTTCTGCTGCCCTGCATCGTTTCAGATTGTTACTGTGTCTCAGGCAGTGCCACTGAGCATAGTAGTGGTTTTGAACCACTGCAGAAGGGGAGAAGAGGATTTACTTGCTCGAGAAGTGTGTCCAGTTTTGTTTCTTGCAGATTAATATATGAATTTAGCAGTTTCTACTAATTTTTATTTAAATAAAGCTATTTAAGCTGTATATTGGAGCTGCCATACTTTAAAGATGAAAGTGGCTGAATATGGGCAAGTAACTGGTCAGACTGCTGCAGCTGATGGTAATTAACGAGCAACAATATTTTCTTTATCAGAAAGTATTTTATGCTTCCTTATGTATCAGCATGTTTAATCTGACTATAGCTACAATGAAACAAAAAGTGTTCTTTTCCAAAAGCTGTTCAATTTCAATTATCTTTAAAGAAGAAATATTTTTTTCTCATGAAAAGAAGCTATTCACCATTCTAAAGCATAGAAGTTATGTAAAGTGTATGTATAAAGTGTGTGTTTGGGAGCCAGACAGTTGCATTTACACCGAACCCCCTTGTTTCCTTCCAGCACACACTTATAGTCGCAGATGCTGAAAATCTCCTCAAAGCTCCTACTATTGTAGGGAAAACTGCACTGAATCCCATCCTTTTCCGAGGAGTTGGGTAAGTGGCTACGGAACAGGGCTGGAAGGGAGGATTTCTGAGCTGTTGTTGGGGCAACATCTCATTAATACAGGTTTTTCTGTAACTAAGGGATGTCAGCCATGGCTCTTAACTTTTGAGACCTGCTGCAAGAAGTGGGATTTGTTTTAGCTTGATTCATTTTGAGTGAACGTGCTGGTCACTGTGCCTGTCTCTCCCCGTAAGGATGGTGGCTGATCCTGACAACCCGCTGGTGCTCGATATCCTGACCGGCTCTTCAACCTCTTACTCCTTCTTCCCGGATAAGCCTATTACTCAGGTACGTTCAGCTTCTTTTTCTTGTCTTTGGGGTCACACTCAGCTCCCTTAGTTTCAGCAACATGCAGAAATTCTCGGGTGGTTCCTCTCCTGATTTTGAAAGTGTCAGGCTGTCATCTGCGTTCTGACACTGCCCTGGGAATCTTCCATTCTGTTTCTTTGTTGTTTGGAGAATGCACAGCATGAATGCTGCTTTGGAAGAAATGCCAGCTTAGGATAAAGACTAAAGGGAAAAGGTCACAAATCCTGTTACTGGTTATTTAATCATTTTTTGAATTGGCTAAATGCTATTTAAAAATCTCTCTAAATCTCTCTTCAGTATCCCCATGCCGTTGGGAAGAACACCCTTCTGATTGCTGGACTCCAAGCAAGGAACAACGCCCGGGTTGTTTTTAGTGGCTCCTTGGATTTCTTTAGTGATGCTTTCTTCAATTCTGCTGTACAGAAAGCTACTCCTGGATCTAAGAGGTAGGATAACTTTCTGGCATTCCTGGCCAAGCAGTGTCTGGGGAGCTGTTTGATCAAGAAAATCATGGGAAACGGGCAACAAAAATTGTACTGTAGGAAACTTTCCTGAAGAAGGGAAAGACTTGTGTTCTTTTGACTGTGGTGCGAGTAAGTTAGATATGCAGCACAAAGTGTATGTTTTCCTGAGGTAGCTTTTCCTATCCATAACTTCAGGATATTTTAACATCCAGAACATCCAAAGGTTTTGCAAATCATCTGCACAGTATTCCATCTCTCATTCCCCTTTCAGCACATGCATATCCCATTAATAAGCAAGACGTAACTGAAGTGCTGGGTTTCTTTTTAAAATATCTTTCCCTATATTTAGTCACTGTGGAGCAAGCTCCTTTCCCATGTAGGAGGGAGCGCTTTGGAAAGTAATTTTCTTTTCAAACCTAGGCTGCGTGCTAGCAGCCTAGCAGCTCCGTGCTGCTTTCCAGTTTGTCTAATGATTTTTGGCATTGCTGTAGTTCTTCAGAGCGGCTGTTTACTTTCTCAGCCTTTCTTCACGTGCAGATATTCCCAGACTGGTAATTACGAGCTGGCCGTTGCCTTGTCTCGCTGGGTGTTCAAGGAGGAGGGAGTGCTGCGTGTCGGAGCCGTGTCTCACCACCGCGTGGGAGAACGTGCCCCGCCGAGCGCCTACACTGTCACTGACCTCGTGGTAAGGCTGCGGGTGACACGGCTCGGATAATGTTCTCTGGACAGCAGGAAAGACGAAAACACGCTTGTCTTTGCAGTGAAAATTAGAGAGTCCCTCAGACGTGTCTCCAGGAGCTAGTGCTCAGAGAGGCTGCAGTCATGCATTAAGTGGCTGGTCTAGGGAAGCCTGCGAGCTCTGTGCTAGATGTTACTGATGTTCAGTAGGGTTTTTTAAAAATATTTTTCTCCTATAAACCTTGTGCAGGAAAACTTGAACCTGATGGGTAGTGCATTCTGAAGCTTTTGCTTCGTTATTACTTGTCTGTCTTTCAATGCAGAGATGTCCAGCTGCTGTCAGAAGGAAAATTAAAACGTGTCATTTGGCAAGCTGGAAAAAAACATAACCTTTAAAAGATTGTAACTATAAAACCGATTGAACCAGAGAGGCTATTTTCAGGTTTCAGCTGTCTAGATTTGATCATGATAGCCCAGTTGTGTCTTTAAGATGGCAATATACCTAATTTGCTCTGGAAAAAAAGAAATTTGGGAGAATTCCCTCATTGCCTTGAAATTTCTCACTTCTATAGCATCAGCATCTGATATTGTTTGTATTGAATGAATTGAATTAAGTAACGTTCAATGCACTGATTTTTGTTCCAGGAGTACAGCATTGTCATTGAAAAACTCTCTGACGGGAAGTGGGTCCCCTTCGACGGAGACGATATTCAGCTGGAGTTTGTCCGCATTGACCCATTTGTCCGGACTTTCTTGAAGAGAAATGGTTGGTTTCTGTCACCCCGCCTTGATTTTGCATGTTGTTGCCTCTTGGCATGGCAGTCTTTGTAAGGAGGAAGCCTGGCTGCAAAGAGGAGACTTCCACAGTCAGTTTTCGGGTCTCCCCTGCTGTTTTTGGTGTCAGTTAAACATTCTACTGCTTTCTCTTTCTTAGGGGGAAAATACAGCGTGCAGTTCAAGCTGCCAGATGTCTATGGGGTATTTCAGTTTAAAGTAGATTATAACCGCCTGGGTTATACTCATCTCTACTCCTCTACCCAGGTAAGCACAGGGGGAGTATTATCATATAAGAAGGCACAACCATTAAACTGTTAAAAGGGATATCTCTTAAAGTTATAGTTGGGGTGCAGCATCCTTGAACGTGCAAGGAATTGGAGCACTTCTGGCTTTCTTGACGTGTCACTGGGTACCGCAAAACTCAGCAGCCGTTCTCTCCTCCTCCAGGTGTCTGTACGACCTCTCCAGCACACGCAGTATGAACGTTTTATCCCCTCGGCGTATCCGTACTATGCCGGGGCCTTCTCCATGATGGTGGGCCTCTTCATGTTCAGCATCGTCTTCTTGCACATGAAGGAGAAGGAGAAATCCGACTGAGCTCCCTATGGGAGGAAGATCCTTTTCTTCTTCTTTTCCTAACACTGGCACCACTCAGAGCCAGCAGCACTTGCATTCCTTGCTGTAACTGTTTGAGGACTGGTAGGTGCCAGAAAACATGCGATTTTTTTTTTTATTTTATTTTTTAATATTGGGGGCAACTAGTAGGCTTGTAAACGAACCAGATGTTCCAGGGGAATCCATTGCCAGAGGATTTGGAAATGCAGAGATGCTGCTGTAGCTTTTCCGGGACTGGTTTGCAGTTCTGTTCGTCTTTTTGTCCCTTCCTTTGATCGGAATGATTTTGATTCGAGATTGACTCCATTTTCAAAATAAAATCTCGTTCTGCTCACCCCGAATTGAGTGTTTGGGGCTTTCTGGTGGCCCTGTCTTGTGGGATGCGAGGAGTGTTGTCTGCTGTGCTTAGTGCTTTGCCCTTGCACGTGAACGGTAAGGGGGGCTGGCAGGGAGATGCTTTTCTGTTGAATCCCCCATTCCCAGCACAGAAAATGCACCAAAACCTCGCCATTTGTGAAAAAACAACTGCAGGACAAGAGTCTTGCAGCACTGCTGGAGCTTAAGGGGCTCGGGCTGGCCTGGCAGCTGTGCGGCTTTGTTGGGATGTGGCGGATGGCCCGTGTCGGACACACGCTGCCCGGCTGGAGCGGGGCAGGAGGCTGAAGCCAGCAGATGGTACAACCCTGGTAGGGCACGACAGGGGTGCAGGGCACCCCGAAACCCCACTGTGGAGCAGGGCTGCAGGCAGCTGAAGGACTTCCTTCCCTCCCTCAGGGCTTGCAGCTGCATTTTATTTTATTTGTTTTCTCTTTTTTCTCACATTTTCCCAACTTCCTCCAAACCTGCATTTACTGTGGGGAGAGGATGGTGCGTGGGGCTGGTTTTGCTGCTGTGAGTCTTCCTCCTCTTCCTCCTCAGGGGAAGAAGGGCTAGCACTGTCATTAATTGTCACAGCTGGGGAGCCTCTCACCTCCCCTGTGCCTAATCAATAATTTAAAAAATACAATAAAGTAAAAATAAAATGGTTAATATGATAAAAATGATAATATTGATTTTGTGAGGGTGGGTTTTTAATTTTGGCTGCTTTTAGGGGTGTGCTGCTGTGCATGCTCACGGGACACACATCCTTGTGCCCGCCCCGTGGCGCATTGGCACTCGCACGTGCCCGTGCATGCACGTGTGTGCAGGGGACGGCAGCTTTGCCCCAAGCGTCCCGCTGGAGTCCAAGCTGCAGCGGCTCCAGTGCCGCAGTCCCGCAGGGCTCGGGCCGTCCCCCTGCACCCAGGGGTGCAAATCAAGCAGCGGGAAACGCAGGCAGCGGCGGGCGGCTCTGGGCTGGAGCGCAGGGTTCCTTAGTGCTGGTGGTGCCGCGGCTGCTGCTTCGCCTCTCCGTGTCACGGCCGCGCTCTCCAGCCAGGAGAGACTCATAAACACCAGGATGTGCCCGGGTGTAACTGGCCTCCCTGCCAAGGGGGAGATAACGGGTGCTCCGCGCTGCCGTTATGGCATGGCCATAAAGAGTTGGGATTAATGGATTACCAGCCTGTGCTGGGCGAAGGCTTTATAAAGCTGCTCCTTGTCCTGGGAACACAGAGCTCTGGCTGCGCGAAGAGCGAGAAGGAATCCAAGAGACTCCAGAAAAGGGCAGTTCAGACCCAAGCAGGAGAAAAAGCTGCTGGGATTCGGAGCGGCCACGACTTGCAGCTGCTATGAAGGGCTTGCTTGGCTTCACGGTCCTCGTGCTGCTCTCGCTGGTGCACAGCTCCTGCGCCGTCTATGTTCAGGTGAGTTTTTCTGCTCTTCTGGTCTTGCACGTGGAGCCAAGTCCTGAGTTTATGCTAAGACTGGACAGGGAATCTTAAACTAACCAGGAGGGTGGAGCTGCATCTTACTCTGGCTCCATATGTGGTGTTCTCCTCATTGCTTTGGTTGGAGCTCCAACCTATTGGACAGAATAGAATTCCTTCTATTTGTAAGGAGTATTAATGAGTAGATGAGCTGTAGGAGAAGGAGGAAAAAGCTAAGTTGTTGTTGTTTATCATCCATTTAAGTCAATGCTCTACCAGGCACACGTGAAGTTCGAGTGACTTTGCAATGTGCTTTGAAAGGCAGCATCTGGACACGTTGCGGCACAAATCCTAGTGCACGCAGTGGAAGATGCTTTGCTAATCGTGGTCCATAAATGCAGGAATAACAAACAGGGTTTGTTCCCGTTTGTGCTTTTGCTGTGATAAAATCTGGCAGCAAGTTCAGCTTCTCTCTTTTGGAGTTCTCTCTAAAACATCATTCTCACTTTAGATGACAGGTTTCCTTGTCACCAGGAGTACACGTGTTATGGGGCTTATTCCTACCAGGCCACTGGCAGGAATTATATTAGGAAAAATGAATGAAGAACTTAAATTCATGTCATCCTTTTCTGGTTTTGTTTATTCCTTTTTTGATTTATTTCTCTCTCTGCCTTACGCTTCTCTGGTCTGTGACCAATAAAAGAATCTAGAATTGCATTTCTACAAGAACTGTTAATTTCTCCTAGGCAATCATGACTGATAAATTAATCTGAGTAAAAATTATGGTCTAATTGGAAATAGAAGAGGATTTGGCCCTTGATAAGCAAATGCATGTCCACAGTTTGTTGTTATTAGTGTTATTTTGAATACTATGACACAAGAATAAGACTCTTGCAATTTAGTGTCAGGTTAGTGAGATGATGAAGAAATGTTTTCAGGTAAAATACAGTCTCACGCTCTAAGGAGCCTTGCTTCAATTTATTTCTTTGCATGAGCAAGTGGGATTTTTTGGAAGCATCGTGTTTAGTAGCTGCTAATCAACTGGGCTTAATTGTGTGGACATGTCTTAAGCTCTTGGAAACTTGTTGCAGTACCTTGGGATGAGGGATTGCAAGTCTTAGCAGCAAGGGAGGTGAAGGAATAGCTCCTTGTGGTTGTTTTTGGGCCTGCCATGTGAAGGTCTCTACTGGCTTGTTGGAAGAAAGAGTGGACAAAGTTAATCTTTTTTTTTTCCTGTCTTCTCCTATCTACATAGGATGGAGACTTGAAATTTTCCCTGGAGTCCGTGAAGAAGCTGAAGGAGCTTATGGACAAGAGCAGAGATATTAACCCCCGCATGAAGAGCATCTGGGTGCCCTGTGAGGAAAAAGATCTCCCCGAGGAGTTCCGGAGTGTGTGTGAAAGAAAAGACGCACCCGTGGTGTTTGGGAGGCTGAGTATGTAGCTTGCATTGCCAAGGCCCCACTTCTTTTTTTTTTTTGCATTTTCTAACCTTAAATGTTCAAATAGTAGCAAAGAAAAGGTAATTGCTTTAAGTCCCATTGTTCTCTCACTTCTATATTGCTTTCCCAGTGAATCTGAGTGGGATTTCATGCTTTAAGCAAGATTTTTGCAAGAATTGATTTCCCTTACACCAGCGAGAACTGGAAAGAATATCAAAGCTCATAAGGCTCTACCAGGAAGGAGCCTCCAAATTATTTTCACAGAGCCAGAAATCTCTCAATCTGTTATTTGAACTCACAGTTTGTTGCCAACGCCTTGCATGGATGTAGAGGAGCACAGGCGTTAGGAGCCCTTTCCATACCGTCATAGGGAAGTTTGCTTCTACCCATAGATATTCATCTTGCAGTTTCACTGCATCTCTCTTTCTTTTATCCCCCACAGACCAGGCTGTCCAAGAGATAGACCTGTGCGAAATCTGCGTCAACGCAGCCTGTGCCGGCTGCTTGTGAAGAAGGACAAGGGATACTCCAAGGAGACGCTCCAAGTCATGAAGCTCGTGCTTTTGTCTCATGACATCCCATATATCCTCCCAAATCCGTAGTTAGGCTCCATCTCCACTTCAGTCCAAGGGTTACTGTTAGCTCATTTAGACACCTCAGGGGTAACCTTCCAACGTCTAGATGGGTCCCACCAGCAGTGCAGTGCAACTTCATTCAAGAGGTCACTTGTCAAGTGAGCGCTGTCCTGCTGCAACGCGGCTGGAGCCACATGTCTACATGAGCTGAGGGACACTTGGCTGGAGTGAAGACACTCTGGGCTCAGCCTTTTGGTCTTCACGTTTTATTGTCATTTTTTAAAGTCTCCTCTAGCCTTCCTAGTAACTACGTCTGCTGTGATGGGCACTCCTCGCAGGCGTGCGCTCATGGCATTAGGTTTTGCTCATCTCCAGCTCGCACTTTCCTGATGCTGTGGATGACCGTCTGTGTCTGGTCGTACATGGCCCTGTTGTGATGCAGTCCACAGCGTTGAACCTGGAGACAAGCTACGAACACTTAGCAATGCTTTCACAGAGCCAGAAATCTCTCAATCTGTTACTCAAACTCACAGTTTATTGCCAATATATTGCACAGGTGTATAGCAGCACAGGTGCTAGGAGCCATTTCCATACTCCATTTCTCCATAGGGAAGTTCACTTCTATCCATAGATACTCATGTTAAGGTGGTTCTGCTTAGGAGGAAGGAGGACTACTCTGCTGTGATGGCATCACTCTGCAGTGAAAACATTGCCAGTTGATTTTATTTATTGGCGGCAAGGAGGTGAAGGAAGAGCCTGCCCATGTTTATATGCTACTGGATATGAAATAAAAGCTAGTGATGAAACTGGTTGTGAAATTTTACCTGCTCCCTTTTCTCCTCTATAATGTCTTTCACTTCTGGGTCTTCGCTAGGGGAAAATATTACGCTGTTAATGGTGGCCTGAAGTTAAAATAATCTGCTTTTCCATTTATGGTCCCTGTATGGATCATAATAAGATGTAATTATATAATATTTATAATATATATAGTAATATTATTACAACAATATAATAATCTATAGTCTGCAAATTATTCCCTCTCACCACTGACCTCTTGAATTACTCTCTCCGTTTCTCTATTGCAATTCCACAACCAGGGTTCCCGAGAAAAGCTAGCACTTGCAAAGCTAAGCTTTTTTCTCCAAAATGAGGTGCCCAACTCCAGAAATGAAGCCTGCAAACCCCTGTGGGGTGTGAAAATTCCTACTCCGTCCGCATCCACTATGACCACCACTGTGCCAAAGGGGTCCACAATGGGCTAATGGTTTGAACTGGAGAGTGTCCCAGCTCGCCAGGTTTCTAACAGCACTACTGGTGTGCTTGGACAAGTGTTAGAGTCCCCAAAATTAACAGAAGTCAGAAACATCTTTTTAAGCAATTTTGTTTTCTTTTTCCTAAGAGATCACCGCTGTTTTCCTTAGAAATGAGATGATAAATAGCTTTAACATGGGCCATGCTCTTAGGACAAGCCCAGGCTGCCACCTGCTATCATTTATTGGCCAACCATTTCTTTCATTTCCTGCCTCTTAATTACAACACCACAGAAAGTTATCGAGTGATGATGCAAATCACCATCGTTTCTGATTGACGGAGTTTATTCAGAATGGAGACTAAACAAGACTGCTTCTTCTGAAGATTAAAGCAATGACTTTTGCAGTCATGGCACACGCTGCCTTGCTTTTCAGATAATATCTTTCAATCATCGGAGAGAAGCTGTGATGGACTTCGTGTCTCCAGGATAAACAGATAGGAGCTAAGCGGATGTAACTAAGGTCAGGGATTCCGGATGTTTGCAATTAGTGACAGAAGAGAGAGGATGATTGCTGAAAGTTGTCGGTTCTGTATCCAGGTTCCTTTCTTTCTCTACACTGTTAGGATATTTCCAATAAGATGCGAGCGATGTTGTAAAATTTACTGTTAGATAAACATATAGAACGAGCTCCAATAAAGAGTAGGGAGCAATTAAGCATCCGTAAAAATACTTCTTCTTGTGTAAATTCGGAAGGAAGCAGAATAATAAATCAGCGTGCAAAATACTTGGGACTCTCCACACTCCTGTTTGATGTTCTGCTTGTTTTATACAAGTGCCTGATGCAGGAATTTTGTGTCATGAACGGTACGTGCTGCACGTGGCATCAAATCTGCAATAGAAGAATAGAATAGAATAGAATAGAATAGAATAGAATAGAATAGAATAGAATAGAATAGAATATATCTTCAATATACCCAAGGGAATAGTAAAAGAGTACAATACAACATTGCCCACTGCTGCAGGCCAGGGCAGCATGGGAATCTGTGCAAAATAGGTTACCTTACTGTGTCCTATATCACCTTCTTTATCATCTTCTCTGAGCCCTTAGGAGAAAGAGAGGTGATCTTGGAAGGACGCAGCCGTAAGTTAATGCTTGTAGGATTTTGCTCACACTCAACCTTGAGACCCAGGCAACCAAACACACATAAAGCATCTCAACTTAAATATCCTTCACCCCAGGAGCTGGGGACCTTCCTCAGTTCCTTTTCTCAGTCATATTCCTTAATATTCCTTAAAGAAAAACTCAAGGTACAAAAATATGAGGCAGCTCCTCAATAAAGAGAATGTGCAAGAGGTAGAGGAATGTGATAAAACACTTTCAATTGCACTGTTTTGAAATATAATAAATAATTTTGCCTTTATTAGATAGGTACAGTTATCTTGTGGCATATTGACTGTTATGCAAGCTTCTACTTCAAGGGCAAAAAGTTACAGTGGGAGATAAAGGATGGATTTCAAAGTCTGGCTCTGATAGCAGCAGCTTGGAGTTGTCCCCATGCATGTCCCCATGTCCCCATTTCTTTGCATCATCACACGTATCCTGCCAAGGCAACAGCAACATACTCCCATCTTCATGCTCCCCTTTTCAGACACACCTTGGGGACCAACGTTGTCCTTACAGGAGCATTTAACCACCTCAGGCAGCCTGGGAGGTCAATGCTCAAGGTCCATATCTGCATTGCAATGCGGCATAGCCAACTCTGCCATCCCCGAGCTGCTCTAGTGAGAGAATGGTGGCATCTCCCCTCGTTTAATGATTAACCTCTAATGACAACATCGATGGCAGCCCGTGGCCGATATCTTTCACTCCTCCTTTTATGGGGCTTGCCTCCAATCATGTCTTGGCCCAGGCTCCTGTTAGTAAAATCTCTGTCACGTTCCTGCACTGCTGCAGGCAATAATAGCCCGCCTATCAAGAAGGCAAAGGGCATCATATAACAAAAAATACCATGTGGGAGTGCTGTGAACAGATCCTGTAAAGAATCTATATGATATTTTCATGCTGCTCTATGTCATCTATCTGCAGACTGGATCGCTGGGGTTCTATATCTGCAGCGATAAACTCATTGAGGAGCAAGAAGTGTCCCCCTCTGGGAGCTCTCTCAGAGAAGGGTTGGCCGGATTTAATCAATATTATGAGAAAATCCAGTGAATCAGAAGGGCCCACAATTTAGATGTTAATCACACTTTATTGCCCAATGTCACCAAATCAATAACCATTAAATCAGAACAGCGAGTTCAAAGAACACCTCAAGAAGAGGAGTAAAGCAGACCTCAGGGGTAAACATATTTCCCAGCTGGAATCCGTAGCCTTCAGGATTTTCAGGAGACTAATTGCATTAATACTGATGCAATCACTACTCACAGAAATTCTTTCTCCTTATTCCGCATTACACATATTATCTTACTTTTATATGCATCCTTACACGGCACTAGCAATAGAGAGATATCCGTCAGCCCAACCTATCTCCAGTGGATAATGTGGAAATTTTAGGAGATGAGCAGGCTCTGAGTTTCCCCAGTCATCCTTCCTCAGTTTGACACAAAAACCTAATCAAAGTGAACTTGCTCCAGTTCACGGGGTGTTTTCTAGGAGTCGTAATAAAACAGTGTCCACATTAATCAGCATCTGAAGACCTTGTTCATGAGGACATATGCAACCCAGCTTTATTTTTAGGGTGATGTTGAAGTGGGAATAGCAATGATGCAGACTCCACAGTTAAAAAAATAAAGGGAAAAATAAGAAAAAAAGAAAAAAGCTTTCCGCTTTCCTCTTGCTGTTTCTTGAACTCTCCTGTTCCTATTGATAGCAACAAGGGCTTGAGACAATTTCTGGTGTCAGAACTAAAAGATGTAGGGCAATGTCCCAAACAAAGAATACGGGGGGGAGTTTTAAGGTGTTAAAATGCTGTGGTGACAGATGCTCCGCTGCCACTGAGCTCAGGATGCCACTGCCAGCTCCCTTGACCTGCTCACAATACTCTTCCCTAAGGCAATCCATTGGCCACCGATGTCCCACAACAATGGGGCTCGTTGCTGACATGTCCAGCTTGGTGTGCACTAGGACCTCTTGGTCTTTCTGTGGTCACCTGCTGGTTGCACGAACTTATTCCTCCCTAGGTGCAGGTCTTTGCTTGGTTGAATGCCAAGAGACACCTTTTTTGCCCATTTCTCTAGGCAGTCCCTCTGTCAATGTCCCTCTGCATGGTGTCACAGCTACCCAGTGTATCAGTCATCCTCCTAGCTGCTGCGGGTATCTTCAAGCCCATCATGCAGGTCGTTATTAAGGGTCTTGCATACCTTCAACTCTCAAATATCTTCAGTTCTGAAATCGATGCCCAATAGTGGCATTGGCCAGCTCCCTCAGCACTGCAAATCCCTTAGTTACCCCTAGTCAATGTTGCCGTCCTATCATCTTGCTGGCCTGCTTTGAGATACCTGCTTTCAATGGTATTTTCTGGGAGGCCGTTTCTATCTCTTTTGGCTAAGCTGTCTAGTGACACTGGTTTAGTTACCGTGCCACCCCTCCAGAGGTGGGTCAGAGAGGGTTCCCTAAAATATGAAAGCTTTGAGGTCCACCTTCTGACCCTACTCACATTAAAAGGAGTTCAGGAAGAGTAAGTGGCAGTAGGAGCCATCCTCACCCACCATCCCCAAGGTCCCTATGGGGCTTTGCCAGGTGACACCGTTGTCTGCCATGG